TGTTTACTCGAACAAGACTCGATGGGAATATTGCTTCCTAGGGGGATGCCTCCTCCCAGTAAAAGACCTTTTACTACTTAACATAGACCTATCTACCATGGGGTTTCTTTTCTAAGATATTTTCTCCCCAGTGAAGTATCCTCGTTTCTCTGCAGGAGGAGAATGTTCATTCTCCCCGGAAATATAGAAGTTGTTTAAAGTCTAGTTGACCCCTTTTTTCATTGGACTGTAATTTATTTTTGCAGCATCTTCTCCAAAGTCCACTTTTCAGTGGCATTCCTCCTCAGAGTTGACGTGATGGCGTTGTAATCTTGCATCACATTTCTTTACCCATCGATTGGTGGTTCAAATCGCTTACTCATCAGTGAAGTTTTCCATTCCAAACAGGGGCACGTCACCCCAATTTCTGTTTTGCAAATACTTGTTGGTCTTGCATGACAAGAAGAATACCAGCAAGTGAATCAAGAAAGGTCTGCATGTGACCAACATGAGGATTTCTGTAGAATGGGATTCAATCTCTCGAGTGAATGTTCACTTCTTCTCAAGACAGAATCATGTATCCCCAATAAGGGCGTACTCTCTCCCAGACATAAATCCTTATCTCCATTAAAAGTATGTCCGTGCGTAATCCCCACTGAAGTCAGTACTCTCAATGAGAGTTTGTTTAAGAGTTTGTCCCTCCCATTAGGCTTATCTCTGAAGAAATGCATTTCAACAAGTTTTGTATAAACTTCTTCATCAGCATAGTCTACTCAGCTTCGATAAATCCTGGAAAGATCATTTCATTGGATTGTAGACCTTTGTTATATCCTCTCGAAGTCAGTACCATATCTCTTCGTGGTAGGTATTTATCTCCCTATGGAGGTTGCTGTTCATCGTCTCTCTGAAGTTCGTATCTTTTCTCCCTAGGGAAGTTTTTCCCAAGTCAGGTTTTCTTGAAGAGAGGTTTAATTAACATGTTTGTTATGCCCAGCGGAGCAGGTCTCCTATATTTTTTTTGGGGCAGAGTACATGGACAAATACCGTTTAAAATTCTTTTATCCCAGTTATGGGATATGGATGAAATATTTCCTCGGTAGAGTTCCAAACCTCAAGCTTATGGTTCAAAGATGACCTTCTCTTCCTCAAGTGAAGATTGTTACCCTCGACAGTAGTATCCTTTGTGTGGCCTGTGTAGATTCATTTTATTTAAAAAAAAACAAACAAAAAAACAAACAAAAAAATTGCGATTGAAGACTTACATCGGAAGGTCCCAATTCCCAGCAAGATTCTCTTTATCCTTGGAAAGAGATGTTGGATTTTTCCCTAAGAAGTTGGGAGTTGGATCAGAGTTCGAAAATTTCCCTAAACTGCAATTTATTTTTGCAGTATTTTCCCCAGTGAAGCGAGTTTTCATTCCCTAGTGGAGCATGCTTTCTAGAACAAGTGTCATCTTCTCCCCAGTATGGTGCACATGGGAGCACCAATTATAACTCCTTCATCCCGGAATATGAAAGATTTTGTTGAGATGTCAGCGGTGGAGTTTCTGTCCTAGGATGTTTGGTTCTTCCCCAAGTGAAGATTTTTATCCCCCGGCGTTGTTATCCCCAGTGTGGTCTGAGTAGAATCCTATTTATTTAAGAATTTCTATACTCCCCAGTAGAAGCTATCTTCGTAAAGAAGTTCTGCGCAAGAGAAATCTTCCATCCCCAGCGAAGCTCTCCCCGTTCTAACAGAAGATAAAGTATATATCCCCCAGGAATTTGGAAGTTTGATCAGAATTCAAGATTTTCTCTCAAACTGCAATTTATTTTTCGTAGTATTACTACCCAGGAAGTTATTTCTTCAATGTTATCAATCGTTCAAGGTTGATGGTTTCGAATCTCGATTTCCTACTGAAGTTCATATTGCATGTTCTCTACAGAAGATTAGATGTGCAAGAATAATCATTTGAAAGTTCATTGTCTTCCCAACATCCGATTATTGACGTGGTCTCCCCAGTGCATTACTAAACATGCATCATTACATTGCATCATTACATCGCATCTACTAAAATGCATATCATTTCCATTGCATGGAGCATTACGCTATAAAAAATTCAAACATGCATAAGTATAAGCCAATTATGTCCACTTGTGGTAACTAGATTGTTATGCGCTCAGATTTGATTTATCTCCATAACAAGCCTAAGGGTGACTCTATTATGTTTCCTCAGCGGGGTTTATTTTGATTCGCCATCAGTCGGGTCTTTGGTATTCCTCCATCTCCTCAGTAAGTGTGTGGTTTGCGCTTGCCCTTTCAAGCTTTTGGTTATTTTACCCGTGTTCGCTTTGCCGTTAGAGTGCGAGTAAGAGTCGGCGTATAGCCTTTCTTATTTCTCAAGTATTTGAGTGTCCATACTTGGTGTGTGGTAATTCAGATGATTGCCACTCTTGAAGAATTATACCCCACCTTTGGCCTGAGGGATTTTTTTAGTTCTTGCGTATTTGCAACCTATCGAAAGCCTAACATGTTTTTCTTTGTTAGAGTCTGCTTGGACCAGTCCCTTTCTCTTGCAGAGTTCATATTCGATCGGTGCTCTTTGAAGGTCCTGCTTAGTCGGTTCCTTGTTTTGGTTTATCTACGTTAGTCGGGTCCTCCTTTCGTTAGCCTAGCTAATCTTTTATGTTAAGAGTCTTTCAGTGTCTCTTCAAAGTCTAGTTGTCTAGCATCCTTACTTAGGCAAATGCGCCCTTTTTATTGGGGCTTTCTTCGGTTAGTCTCGTTCCTGTGTTCGCTAGCAATTCTAAACATTTGTTTCTTGATGATCAACTTCGCTCTTGTGTATCTAACTCTGAGTAGACATGCATACCTGTATCTTTCAAAACCCCGCTTCGCCTGGTATCTTTTGTCAAAATCCCGCTTCGGATGGTGTCACTTCTTTTAAATCCACCCTCGATTGACATCATTTGTCCGAAGTCCCGTTCGGCTGGTCTCTTTGCAGTTGTAAGTTCACCTTCGATTGGTGTTTTCTTTGCAAGAGCTTTCTTCGGTCTGTCTCTTTTGTGCGTATCTGATACCGACCATGGATATGTATCTTTTCTATCTCTTTCCTACGTATCCGATACCGACCACGGATATGTATCTTTGATATCTCTTTTATGCGTATCCGATACCAACCACGGATATGTATTTTCGATACCTGTTTCATATGTCTACTACCAACCTCAGACATATGTTCTTGTATCTCTGACGTCTCTTTTGTGCGTATCCGATACCGACCACGGATATGTATCTTTTCTATCTCTTTCTTACGTGTCCGATACCGACCACGGATATGTATTTTTGATGTCTCTTTCTTATATATCCGCTACTAACCCCGGATATGTGTCTCTGATATTTTTTCATATGTCTACTACAGGCTTCAGGCATATATCTTTTGATACCTTTCTTACAGGTGTCTGTTGCTAAATCCCAACAGATGTTCCTCGATAACCAAGTTATCCTTCGGTGTGTCAAACTCTGGTTAAACATACATCTAACCCTAATAATCCTTTTTACCAAAAAAAATATATATACAGAAGATACAAAAAAACCAAAGATATAATAATACCTGACTGGCTTCGGAGCGCAAATTTTCGGGTTCTTTTAGTATTTAATCTTCTTCCACCCTGAAAGTTCGAAAGGCTGACGCCAATCTCACCTTCAGGATTGAAGATGATTAAATAGGGGCAGCTGTTGCACCCCAAAATTTGCCCTCCTAATTTCCTTTTATTTTGGCTTAGACTTTTGCATTCATCTGCATCTTTTTCATTAGGTCACTAACATGGCATACATTTCATTCAATATAGCTCTGAGGTTCAAAGTTCAGTGGTTGTGCGATACTAGGGTTTCATAGTGGTTAAGGCGCTCATATCCAATAAAGGACTTCTTCTCCCTCAAGCAGCAAGGCTATTATCTTCTGATGAACAACCGATTGTAGGTCATTCTGGTCAAGAACTCTAGGACGTGACCTAGCATATGTGGGCTTCGAATCATGACGTCCTTCCCTATAAGTATGCTTGTCATTTGATTAGGATTAATGATTGTGACATGACAATCGTCTACTCCTCAGTTAATCAAATTAGGTTTTGTTGAATCATGGTTCAAAGATGTTTTATCCGGATATTTCTCTGTGCGTCTGAACGAGGAATCAAGATTGTGAGGGTTTCACATCAAGGGAATTCTTCTGTGATTCAGACTTTATCATCCATCTGTAAGATGTTCCTTATGACACTAATCTCAGGTTGAAATAACCGATCGATAAGAGACTTGTGGATTGAATCGTGGAATATGAGGCATGATACAAAAGGCAAGGTTGTGAATTTTTTAGGATCAAGATCTTATTGACTATTCAAATTATTTGTCATTCAAGTTGATTTGGGTTCAAGATTGAAGTTAGGAGTTCGTTGAGAATGCGAGTGTGATTTGGATTTGAACTTTGATTTGAGTTCAAGATGTTCGAAAGTGTTTGGTTGAATTAAAGTCAGCAAAGAGTCTTAAGTATTGGCCATATGGCTTTCTTGGAAGGTAAAGTACAGACTACAAGGTTTTGTTTCAAGTCAGAGTTCATACGCATTACAAAGATGTTCACCGTTATTTCAGATTCAAGTTCACAATGCGTTCAAACATTTATTCAAGAAAAAACTATCCAATTCCATTCAATTTCATTCTCATTCATGGTTCAAGAAAATACTATCCAATTCCATTCAATTTCATGCAAGTGTAACAATACCTTACAAGAAAATTTGATGCTTTCATGCCTTCAAGCATTTTTCAAGACTTGGTCATTTAAACTCCGTCCTTAAAGTTCATCACCCAACATTTCAAGCTCAAAGGTCATTTACAATTCACACTATAAATTTCAAGTTCATCCAAACCAAACATTCATTACAATCCCATTACACCAATATTCTACAAAAAAAGAACTGCTACAAAATACACTTGAACAACATTCTTCAGTCCTAAAGGTGCTAAAATTCCATGAGTAAACTTCTAATTCCATGCCATGCCAAAGTTCTTCATCTTCAGTTCATGACCTGCACATTCATACAAAAAAAATCCAAGTCAATACAAACAATCATGCTGTTAAACATTATAAAAAGACCGGCTACCCACTTGCTGTAAAGCTTGGGACTATTACTGCTGATCTGGAAGCAGCAGATGTTTTCTCTTATCCGGAGGATGAGAATGTATTGGACCCACTTTTAGCACAACATCTGGCATTTTTTTGGGATTGATTTCTCATCACTGCAAAAGACTGAAATGACGACTGCTGAAAAAGAACTCGACCAAAATACCAATTTTGAATGGAATTGAATCCAAGAAGGTGGGACAGGTGAAGTGTCTTCTAAGCATCTCAAGGTACCTGATGAAACAGAACTAGTGGATGATGATGGACAAAATAAATCTCTTTTGATGAAGACAAATGGATATCTTGTGAAGGAGCCCGAACAAATCTCTCCTGGTGGGATAAGTGAAGTGTCTTCTGAGCATCTCAAGGTACCTGATGAAACAGAACTAGCGGATGATGATGGACAAAACGAAAGAGAAGGCAGCCTAGACTGCTCCTGTTCTGATGACGCGGCCAGTGAGGTTGATGATTATATGGATGCATTAGCTACCATAGACTCTGAGTTGGAAATAGACAATGAGTGTGGACCTAAGAAAAGCTTCTTGAATGTTCAAAAGGTAATTGATTCAAATGGTGAAGAAGAACACCAGCTGCAAGCTCCATTTTCAGATTCTCAATCATTTGGAGACTCGTCATTATCTGAGGAAATGAGTTCATTTGAACAAGATAGAAGTGAAGAGAATAATGAAGTGCAAGCTCAGCTGCCAGACTCTCGGTCAGCAGGAACCCCCTGTGCATCAGATGATGATAATCATTCATTCAGAAAAGGTAGAACTGAAGAACATACTCAACTGCAAGCCCGGTTATCATATTTTCAATCTATTGGAAATTCCTCACCAGAAACTAAAAACATGCCTTCCGACCAGCTTTCACAAGCTGTTGAATTGCAAAAAAATTATGATGAGTTTGTCACACATGATGATGCACACGATCTTAGGCGAGAAATATCTGATTCTGGACCAGTTTCTTCTGGTTCATGTCCCGTGGATTCAGAATGTTTACTATTGTCTTCAGATCATGGAGCTACAGATACCTCACTAGTGTCCTTACCCACAAGGACTCTATCAGATAACACACCAGATGTTCTTGTTGAACATTTAAGATTAGAAGATGATGAAGACACCATCTACCCAATAAAAGATAATACTCTCCCAGTTGTTGATTTTGACAACAATTCTTTGAACTTGGATGTCTGCAATCCTCATGTCCATTCCCATACTCTGTTACAAGTTTCCAATGATTTAAATTTAGCCCATGAAGGCGAATGTGGTGGTCATTCTGACATCGAAGTGATGCAGGAAGAATCTCTTAATGAGTACTGTTCTGAACTATCAGTTGTTGGAGACATTGGTTCACGAGGGGAGGATCCCATTTGTCTGCCCATGGAATTAGACCTTAATTCGGGCACTAAACTGCAGCTTGACGACTGGGACTTACAATCTAATAGTGATGTTAAAGCAATGCAACTTGACTCAGAAGATTTGTTTCCTGTTGTGGAGACTACCATAGAGAATAGCTTTGCAGAGGAACTATTTTCTGAATTTATACACGGAAATCCTCAAGATGAACCAGATTCGATAGAAGTTAAAACTCTTTATCCTGATCAGCTTTCAAATTTAGAAGAGGTACCAGAGATAATGTCTAGAAATGAAAGAATTGAATCCACCTGCAGTTTGGATCAAGTTGAAGATGATGATCTTGTTAAACATCCACCTCCCCCTAATTACATACTGCAGATTGATGATATCATGGTAAATGATATATTCCCTGTAAAAGTTCTGTCCAAAGATCTGGTTGTATCTGCTATTCCTTCTCTTGATAACGCTGAAACTGATACAAGTATTGTTAATTGTCAAGCTTCAAATTCTATTTTTTCCCCATCAATGAATCCTTCAAATTTACTTGAATCTTTCCCAGCTTCTCCAGATTCCAATAGGATGGAAATGGGATCCAATGAGGTAGAGTTGACAAAATTTTCCACAGACTTGAATGTAGAGAAGAGGGAAAATCAACTGGAACCATTTGCATATATAACATCCCCTCTAACAGATTTTCCAGCTCATCTCTTAACTACCGTAACACAACTTCCTCTAACAGCCTAACTCCTCTAACTCCAACCAATTCCAAACAGAACTTCTAACTGTAACCAACCTTCCATTTCCCAAACCATAACTAACCTAACTGCATCTTAACCTCCTAACAGAATTTTTGTTAACCAACCTCCTATAACAAACTGCCAGTACATATAAACCAGAGATTGACAGAAGAGGAGAAAAGGGAACACAGAAAAAAAGATTTTATTACCTCTCAATCATCTCATTCTTCACCATTTTTTGAAGAATCCACACCAAGAAAATATCCATAAAAATTTCTCAGTGCTCCCTCTCTGCAATCTTCAACTTCCATAATCCAATCTTCGTCATAATTTCTGCAATCTTTAAACTTCATCCATCAGTTACAACAAGCTTCTTCTGCAGCTCATAACCATCATCATCTTCATTGTCTCAATCCCATATATGCAACCGTTTCAACGCGCCAATCTTCTGCATCTCCAAGTTGCTGCATCATATTCAACAAAAATCCACAACAACAACAACAATCTTTATTGATTTCGAAACGCAGAACATCAATCAACACCAAATGCAGTATCGAAAGAGAAGAAGAAGAAGAGAAATAGCATAGGCAAGAGATTGAAGAGTATACCTTCTATACTGCTGGTCTTTTCTGATTAATGCCGCCACTTCGAATAGCTACCGGATAGGTAAATCTTCTTTTGTTGCTCTGCAATTTCTGTTTCGAATAAGTTGTTGAATCTACAAAAAGATACGAAACACAGAGAAAATCGAAATGAAAACGAATCGGCGGAAGAGATGTTGAGATGTTTGAGATTGAGCCAAACTTGACGGTTTGCGGAGGTGTTTGCTGAGATGGAGGTGTTGAGACGAGTTGACGAACGGGTGAGGTTGAGAGGCGAGCTCACTGAGAGGAGAGTCGTGTCATCGAAGATGAAGTCCCGGTAAATATTGTCCCGTTGAATGGAAGCCAGGGCGGAGAGATTTTGTTTAGCGATAGAGCTTTTGACGGAGATTATGAGACAGCGGTGAGCTATTGAGAAAGAAGGCCCTGCAGCGCTGTGTGGAGAATTGTGTTTCAGAAGGATTAGAAGATATACTTTTAACCCTTATTCATATTTTCACCCCCTATCTGTTTCTAATTGTTTTAGTTTTTTATTTTAGTTTAAATTTTCTTTTAAACTTTATTTAATAAAGACTAATGCTCATGAAACAATAAGAAAAATAGGTAGGGTTTAGGATTTTTTTTATTTTTTTTCTATATCTTTCCATGATAAAAAAATGATAAAAATCAATCAAGTTTTGTTAGATTTTTTATTTGATTTTAGAAATTAATTCATAATTATTCGATTACTTGAGACTTGTGATTCACTGTTGTTTTTCGAGATTTGAGTCTTATGCAGGTTTATTATGCGGTATGCGGCTACGCTTGAAATTTCGATTGTGATTTATTTTCACATCGATGATGCTTCAACACTTATTCCAAGCATTGGATTTCTAATTCTTTTCTTTGTTGATACTAGCAGCTCGTGAGATCATCAAATTTCTTTGCTTTTTACTTTGCTCTACGAGCTAGTATTCGTTTGGTATGTTTTATTTCCACTCTCACCCCACATTTATCACTTCCCATAGATTGCATGGTATGATGACTTTAGGTCTAATGCGATAACATTAGATTTAGAAATAGGCTAGTCTTCCTGTGACTTTCGTCTTCCTGTGACTTTCGTCTTCCTGTGACTTTCGTCTTCCTGTGACTTTCGTCTTCCTGTGACTTCGTCTTCCTGTGACTTTCGTCTTCCTGTGACTTTCGTCTTCCTGTGACTTCGTCTTCCTGTGACTTTGTCTTCCTGTGACTTTCGTCTTCCTGTGACTTTCGCCTTCCTGTGACTTTCGTCTTCCTGTGACTTTCGTCTTCCTGTGACTTTCGTCTTCCTGTGACTTTCGTCTTCCTGTGACTTTCGTCTTCCTGTGACTTTCGTCTTCATGTGACTTTCGTCTTCCTGTGACTTTTGTCTTCCTGTGACTTTTGTCTTCCTGTGACTTTCTTTCCTCCTTTGCATATGCAGTTAAAACAAAAAAAAAACCTTTTTTACAAACTTCAAAAATACATAAAAATTTACTGACAAAAACCATGTCTTGGCTAAGTTTGAGAGATGATGAGCGGGTTTCTTCTCGACATTATTATTCTCTTGTTCTAAAGCTTTGGTATGATTCAAGTCTCAAAGACTCATTTCATGAATAAATAGAGAAATGGCTAAAATCTCTCTCTTGAGGTTAACTAGCTATTATCTACAAGCAAAAACACCAACAAACATAAAAATCTTTTTGCCCTCGGGCCTTTCTTTCAAACCCTTTTCAAAAGAGCGTATTAATTCACTTCTGTGCTGACGCGTAAATCTCCAAAGGTCGAGTTGCGGCAGAAGGCGAGATTAATATTGTTCGTTAAAGAAAATATAAACAAACAAAAACACATAAGCCGAACTACGGCTGCTCTGATTCCTCAAAAAGGATACGTAGGCATTGGGGTAGGGCCCAGGCGAGCACAATTTTATTTTCCCTACATTCTTTTCCCTTTCTTTTGCATGCACTTTCCCTTCAGCAGTAGTAGACAATAAGCATAGATTAAACACACCCATAAGATAGATAACAAGAGTGGATACCGTAGAGTACTACGGGCGTGTGGGGTGCTAATACCTTCCCCTCGCGTAACAGACTCCCTTACCCTTATCTCTTGGTCGTTCGACCTTGATTTCATCCTTCTCGGGTTTTCTCGATGTTTACCTTTCCCTACCTGTGGGATAAAAGACGTTCGATGGCGACTTCATTGTTTGATGATTTTCAGCCGGTTGTTTCACCTCTGATGCAAAAAGGTGTGGTCCCTTCTCTTGCAACGAGGTTTTGAATGTGGGCCATCATTAAAGTAACGGGATTAAGACGGAGGTTTTGTGAAAAGGTACAGTGAAGAGCATACAACTCTTTAGTGTTGACTTTGTTGTTGTTTTCCCTTCCAAATACTGTGTTTGCCATAACGCGGTGTAAGAAGCGAATTTTTGGGTTGTGGATGTGAGAGGCGTAACGTGCTTAGGGATTAACATTTGGTTCACCGGTTATTCTCTCCCATAGTGCGTATGCACTTCCATTCCAATCCAATTCCAGGGGAATGTGATATTGCACATTATTTCCACGGGGAAAATGAAATATGTCGCTCAAATTTTCATGGCTAAGTGTGTACTCTCGGTTGAACATCCGAAATTGAGCGGCTCCCGTTAGGTATGCGTCGACATCATCGCGAGTGTGATAGGCATAGGAACTTAAGAATTCCAATGTTAGAGCTTCGTAGGTTGGTGTGTTCATCATGTTAATAAAGCTCAGGCTAGCTTTGTTCAGCAAGCCTTGCATATGGGTTTGCAACCCCAATTCTTGCAAGCAGTTATTGTCGATGAACCTCATGGATGTTAGCCCTCGACGATGGAATTTTATGAACCTTTCCTTTTGAAGTTCACCTACTTCTCCTTGTCGGAGTACGAGATGTCGCATGTCGGGTTCGGGTTGGTTTGGTGGATTCCTTTGGGCGGCCATGATTTTGAACTTGATAGAGAAGGAAAATGTATTTGTGATGAAGAGATGAAAGGTGGGTAGTAGTGATGAAAACTAAGATATGGGAGAAGGGTTTAAATAGATGGATTTTATTGAGTAGGAAATTGAATGAGGTTTATGGGATAATTATGAATATGAGAGGTTATGGAAGTTAAGGGTGAATATGAGTAATGGGGTAGTGGGGGTTTTAAAGCAAGTTCAAGTTTCAATGATTCAACGGTCACGGGAAGAGAATTGTGGGAGACAGGCTTCTGACGCTCGTCACATGCTTCCTAACGTCCATCAGGGTCGGCAGGGTGTTGGGCAGCGAGTGTCTGGGCAAAAGTTTATTAATTAACTAATTCATATAGTTTGATTAGTGTTACAAGGGATATATATCTATGTGAATAGTTAGTGGCACATAGTAGAATCGGAGGAATGATAATCGAAATAAAAAATAAGAAATAAATAAGATATAATTTAATAAAAGATAAAAATTAAATGAAAAACTTGTGGGTTGCCTCCCACACAGCGCTTGTTTAATGTCGTTAGCTTGACGGCTCAGGAGTGCAAGCACTCATGGTGGTTCTCTCGAGGGTGACTCCTCGGTTGAACTTTTAGTAGTTGTCATTTTCCATGGCCACTTATCAAGCCATCTCACATATCCCTCACCTTTTCTTTTCTTTCTTCTGTGGGGTGGTTCATTCTTATGAACTTGTGGTGGTGGTTCTGGATCTATCCTAAGTATCAACTTTTCAAGTGTGGTCTTAGTGATTTCATCTACCACCCTAAAGGTTAACCTTACCCTCTTAAGAGTAATTATATCCCTAGTTTCGTGGTCCTCTAATTTACTCTTTTTATGCAATACTTCAAACAAGGGTGCATTGGTGTGGGTATTTTCCAATACCTCTACATATGTTTTAGATTGAGAGTCTACCTGAGCTTCCATAAAACTTTGCAGGAAAGGAATCAGTGGGGTATATGGATGAGGAACAACACTAGGTGCTTCCTTCTCTACCTCTTCTACAACCTCCCTTTTAGATGGTGTTGGAGGATTTTTCTCAATATTTACTCTTTTCCCATCTGAACTCTCCTCAACCATATTATCACTCTCCTCAACCTCATTATCACCCTCCTTAGGATTTTCAATTTGTTTTTCACTACTGGTTGTTACAACATCCAATTTCTCCTCAGGGAATGGTCCTAGAGGGTTTTGTTCAAGCTGGGAGATTTGAGTCTCTAAGGCTATGTTGTGAGTCACGAGCGACTCAACCACAGTGGTCAGTTGCCTAAGGTTTTCACTATTTTGAAGACTTTGTTTTCTAAACTCTTCGTTCTGGACAATTTGTGTCTCTACGAAGTGCTCCATCATAGATTCTAACCTAGAGTGAATGAGTGTCGCATCAGAATCCTCCATTGATGTTTCGAAGTTGAAATCATGCGATTCTTCTGAT